AAGGTACACCACTGTCTATTAACGTTACGTTAGTAGCTGCTCCCGTGCGGCTTCATACGCATGATACTATAAAAACTTTATTTGTCATATTCTCAATTGCAAATGTCAAAAACCAATTACCTTACTATGGCAATCTTGCTTCCGTGATGATGGTAGCAGCTTTCACATAAGGGTTTTCATCTAATTTATTTACCCCCTAAATTTAATAGCGTGAAAATATATAGCCTGAAACGTGACGTAAGTGTAGGGGTTTTATATTAAAAAAGAATCATTTAAAAATATGCTATGATTGCTGTCGTCTTACGCCACAAAGAAGTGTGTGTTTACGCTTTATTATATTAGTATAGATAAGGAAATCGTTCGAAATATGTAATTGTTTAGGCCTCCTGACAATTAAACTTTAGACTGACAATTTATGTATTTAGACTACAGAACCACTTCAAAGAGCTTCTGTTTATGCTCTTAACGATCGTAATATATATTCATGTTCTTTTCTGTTGTTCTTTAAAAAATCTTTAACGCGTTACAGGCAATCACTTTGAGATCGTACAAATGCTATTGGAGCACAAGCCGAACGTAAATGCGTTGGACAAAGACGGCTACACCGCGCTGGCGATAGCCTGCAAAGAGGGATACTATGACATCGCATTGGCTCTCATCAATTCTGGTGCCTACATCAATGTTCAGGTAAACTACTTTAAAATTATAAAATTCGTAAAATTTAACTATAAGTATAGAAATTATTTCTTAATTTGTTTTCATAGGACCATTCGAAAGATACTCCGTTGATCCACGCGGTGAAGGGAGGTCACAGGAACATCGTGGAAGCGTTGCTAAAGAAGCACGTGGACGTGGACCTGCCGGGCAAGGAGAAGAAGACGCCGGTGTATACCGCGGTGGAGAAAGGCCACGTCGCCATACTGAAGCTGCTGCTGGCCTCCAACCCGGACCTCGAGCACTGCACCATTGTAAGTATAGTGACATACAAACTTTATGACAGCTCGGAATGTCGCACTAAAACACAAGCGGGTTTTCTTCTGCATTTTGATTAATCCTTAAATGCATATTTTTTCCTTATCGACTACCATATTTTGGAAGAAAAAAAAGTATTTTTTTTAAATTACTGTGTAAGGAAAAAAAGACTGATGTATAATTGAATCGTGATGCATTCAAGGGTTAAGCGTTCCTCCGTCCGAAGTGTGATCAAACATGAGCTCGGAACCTCAAGCCGCTGTAAAGTTTAAATGGTTTAATACATATAACAATACAATAATACAGCGTGGTGTTGGGCAAGCGCGTGTGCCAAACCCCGCCTCCCGTTGAAACTGAAAGCTGAGCCGAGCGACACATGTCACGTGTCCAAATGTTTTGTCGCGCGTTGTGCATTAAGATAATTATTTTTGTTCGCTGTCGCTCGAATTAATTTTGTTGTTTTGATAGTAATGTATTATTAGATTAGTTATAATTGGTTTCGTTACGTAAACTCAATGTCTGTCTCACGCAGCAGTTGGAATAGATTTTTTAATTAAAAATTAGTCAGCTGTATTTTTATCTGATGAAAACTAAACATCTATGAAGTATTATTAACGGTATGGGTAATACGAGTAGTATGAATATGTACTGATATTCTCTTGTAAGCAAACTTTGTCGTTTACCTAAGAGCTGGTTTAGATAACCTAGAGAATCATTTGCATACATATTGCAACAGCTCGTATGAAGGTATGCAGAATGTATATTCTGAATTATCATCCAATGCTGGATAAAATGTTGTAGAACTTGATATTTTCCAGTTAAAGTACATGTTTGTGTAAATTTTAACTGATAGTAAATGACATTTTAATGTGAAACTTAGGATTATGAAATAAATAATTTCGTTATACAAAAAGCAAGTTTTGATGTAGTGTAATATAGTGTAATGAAAATAATGAATCTTTTCTTTTACATTTAATTTTTACTAATATTATGAAAAGAAAAAAGATGTATTTTTGTACGTATTGTAATAACTCAAAAACAACTGGGCCGATTTCAAAAACGCTTTCACCAGTAAAAAGCTACGTTATAAGTGAGTAACATAAGCTTAATTTCACGCGGGCGACGTCACGAACAATAGTTGCTTTGTTATATTCAGATGAAATTAGTAACATTGAGAGAATATGTTCTTATTAGTATTGTAAAGTTTGTATGGTGTATGTGTGTAGAGCGGCGACACGGCGCTGCTGCGCGCGGTGCGCTCGCGGCACGCGGAGAT